GAATTCTTCAAGGTTTTAATGGTGTTTGTTAAGTTTTTCCAGTCGTATTTGTACCAATACGCTGCAAGTATTACCGTATTTGGTGTTTCCTTCAAGATTCTTTTTAAAATATAGTCGCTTATCCGTTTGCAATATGGGTGATATTTACTCTCATATTTAGTAATTGGAGGACAACCCGCTGCAGTCAGATGTGTTAGCCGCACATTTGGCTTAGCAGCTACTATTCCAGGATATAGATGAGCAGCATGCGAGTCACCCCATAGTGTTACAGCTGTCGAGATGGGCTTTTCGATGCGATCCGTGCATGCGCCAAAGTTTGACCCATCTTGGTCGCTAAGCAGGGAGCATGTTTTATCTCTATGACTTCTCGAATAGGTTGGTTTATATTTATTTTCAAAATTGGTTATCTCTTGAATGAGTTTTGGGAATCGATAGGACAAACCATTAGATTGATATGTGTAGTAACCTAAGAAGCCTATACCTATCATGAAAATGCATAGGAAAGCAAACTTTATATTGAGGAAGCGTCCGAATCGAAATGGCTTGTCGATACAAATATGGGTAACCCACGACATAAAGATGCTCAAAAAAATGATACTAGTGCGTACATAATTAGAAACGTTATTTTTAAGGATAATGCTTATATATATAAGAAGAGGCCAATGCCAAAGATAGAGTGGATAACTAATCAATCCGATTCCGACAAGTAAGCGTGCTGAAAGAATTTTTCTATTGATCCAAGGCGTTGTACCGACAGAAATTAGGAGTGCGGTGCCGATGGTAGGAGTGGCTGCCCACCATCCAGGAAATACAGATGATTTCGTGAGAAAACACATCGGTAATATGACCAGAAGTGCCCCAGTAATTGACGTGACATTGCGTAATGTAGAGCCGTTGGATTCAGATACTTCACTGAATGTTAAAGCGATGAGCATTCGATCTAATCGACATTTAATATTTTCAAAATAATCCTTCATATGTATTTTCATAAAAGCCAGACATGCTCCGATCAACAATTCCCACACACGTGTCGTCGGCCAGTAAAATGTTTGTGCGCTATTAGTTTTCACTCTAATAATGTTTAGTGTAAATGAAGAAAGTGTAAGTCCAATTGTGAGCGTTACCAAATTCAACTTTACTTTCCATGAAAAGTAAAGAAGCATCGGCCAGACTATGTAGAATTGCTCTTCAATGCCAAGAGACCAAAGATGAAGCAAGGGTTTAGTGCCTGAAGCGTCATCAAAGTATCCAGATTCTCTGGCTAGTAGAAAGTTAGACAGAAATCCTGAAGCGGCAACAATATGGGCACCCAGTTTTTTCATGTCGATGGGATGTAGGAAATTTTGGCCAGCTAAATAACAAGCAACCAGCACTACAATCAGCGATGGAAAAATTCTTCTAACTCGACGACCATAAAATCGAAAGAAAGTGAATGAACCCGTGTCGAGTTCATTGTATATGATTGAAGATATCAAATAGCCAGAAATAACAAAAAACATGTCTACACCCACAAAACCACCGGTGAGATGAGTTGGGAAAACATGAAATATTATCACTGCTGAAACAGCGATTGCTCGTAAACCGTCAATATCAGGTCTATAATCTGGGTTAACAGGAATTTGTTGATATGGTGTCCAAAAAGGTTCCCACTTCTTGACAACACTCTCCATGATATCAATGAGTCTTATCATTAACGCATCATATACTGAAAAAAAACTTTCTGCGTAATCACTTCCGGATGAAAAACGTGAAACATGACTAAACTGATGTTGTTCATAGGAAACAAATAGCTTTTATCTATGACTTTAAAGCATATCTTGAGGGTGGGTGTGGGTGTGGGTGTGGGTGTGGGTGTGCGTGTGGGTGTGGGTGTGGGTGTATATGTGGATGTGGCTGTGGATGTGGGTGTGGGTGTGAGTGTGAGTGTGGGTGAAGGTGTGGGTGAAGCTGTGGGTGAGGGTGTCTATTATCTGTAACTACACGCACACTCACACCCACCCGACACGCGCACCCACACCCACCCACCCACCCACACTCACCCACACCCACACCCACCCACACCCACACCCACACCCACACAGTGGGCAACCAGGCGGACATGGCCGATAGTTCCATTTTCCAAAGTTCAAATACTGGAATGAATACGTCTATGGTCAGTCTATTTTACCCTAAAACTAAATTTCCAGAAATCAAGTCATACCCTAAAAATGCCCATCCTCAAAAAATGCTCATAAATCGGTAATTCTACGAAAACCATTATTTTTCTGAATTTATCAAAACATTTTAAAAAGAAAAACTATCTGAAACGAATGATTGACCCATAAGCTATATTGAATTAAAAAATTATTTTGATCGAACCAAAAATGGAATACAAAAAAAATTATTTAAAAAAAAGGCAAAGAGAGTAGATTACTAATTTCTCAATTACAAAATTAATATAACTCTTATTCTAATTAAGGAGATAGAAGAAGAAGTAGGAAGATGTTATTTTTTGATTTTTGTAGAGTTTTTATTGACCGGTTTCGGTTAACTTAAAAGTTGACCTCATCAGAATTACAAAAATACAAAAAATAGCGAAAAAATGTGATACAATAACACATATGATAATACTGTGATACAACAAGAAATAACACATGAGAATATCTTGAGTTGGAAAAGCCCAAAAAAAAACAAAAAGATCACGACAAGATTTATTCATTTGTTCAGAACGTTGTTGGGTTATTGGTTTTCTTCAATTTATTTATCGTAGTTAAAATTATTTTGTCATTTTTATGAGCGCTCGGTCTGGCTTCTTTTTAACTAAATAATCTTGCAGATTATTCAGCTTTTTAGTACCGACGACTGGTTTCATTTTATAAATAACAGTATCTGAAAAACATTCATTCCAGATCTGATTGAATTTAACCGAGAATTTTTTCATACCTTTACAGTATGTAAAATGGCATAAGAAAGTGGTTTCGAAATCAATTCTAGCCTTTTTTGTTCTTATTTCATCCCCTACACTATCAAGAAAGATCTTTCTTATATCTTAGAATTTTTTTGATGTAGGAGTAGGACATCGATATGTTTTGAAGACTCCATCAAATTGTTTTAGAATAAATTGTAGAGGATATTTATTCAATAATAATGATAAACAAATATGATTTCCTTCATTTTTAAATTCATCATAATTTGAACAATATCTTACTACACGTATGAGAGATATGAATGGAATATTTCTTTTTATATGTTGTGCATGTATACTTGTGAAAGGGAGAAAATATGGTTCATGTGAAGGTTTATAAAACATATCAGATATCAATGTTCCTCTTCTGTTTTCAAGTTTTGTATCTAGATATTCTGCGGTAAAACCAATAGACTTTGACAATTGTATATTATTATCTAATCTATTCCAGAAATTAACTAGACCATGTAGTGTGTCAACATGTATATTGGACATAATAAACAAATCATCTATGTATCGAAAATACAAGGAATTTGTTCTATTTGCCCATTTTGCTAAGGGTCTTTCGACAAAGTACATATAGGCATTAGCAATTGTTAATGTTAATGGTGAACCCATTGCGCCGCCTTTTATTTGTTTATAGTATGATCCATCATAGTAGAAAAAGTTATTATTCATAACAAATCGCGTAAATGCAAGAATTATTTCTTTTTTAATACCGTCGATTTGTTTCAATCCACTATTTTCTATTATATGTTTAATGGCTCTGACTCCCCCTTCCTGCGGGATCATGGTAAAGAGATCAGTTACGTCCATCGTAGCGAAAGATGTGGTTATTGTCATATGATTTACCGACCATCTCTCAACATTTTTTAGTAATTCAACACCATTAGATACTTTGTATTTCTTGCTAAGCTATCAAAAAGTGGTCTTAAAAGACCATCTAACCATTTTGATATACGTATGGTTGGAGATTTCATTCCTGCCATTAATGGCCTTAATGGTGTCTTCGATTTATGGCTTTTGGTAGAAAATAAAGGTGAGATAATTCTGCTTCTTCTTTATTCACTCTCAATTTTTCATAATAAGCCTGGGTTATATGCTTATTATACCATAAACCAAAAAGAAACTTATTAGTTTGTTCAATTAAAAATTCAAGTGGGTTTGTTTGTCCCAAATCTTGATATGCTTTTGTTTTTTCCATATGTATTTGTGCTTTTTCTATATAATCATCGAGTTTACCGAGGTGGAAGACTTTCGACTTATCCGTTTTACGTATAATGGTCTTCGTATCTTCAAACTTATGTATTAGATTATTAATTCCCTCTAATTGATTCGATGGAGGGTATTTATTATGACATTCTGTAAGAATCTTTTCAATAGATCTTTCAAAGGTATGTAATCGTTCTTTAGGTATGACCCATCCACGATCTCCAAAGATTTTCTTAACTTTTTTAACCACTACATCTATCTCTTGTGTCATACGTCGGCGAGCTAGTTGAGGGTCATTCGGAATAAAACGAGGGCCAAGTTTTAATAAGGCTTCTTCATTTATACATAAGTCTATTAGTGATTCACTAATTATGCTAGGAGAACAAAATCCTTTCGTAATACTGGAGTTACATCTCGAGGGGTGGGTGTGTGTGGGTGAATGTATGTTGGTGTGGGTATGGGTGAGTAGAAATAGATGATCCACACCCACACCCACACCCACCCTTTTTTTTAATGATGGAGAAGTTACTGAACAATCATTGAGTGATAATCAGAATGTTGGTTCTGTTATTTTATTATCGTTGAACTTAACTAATGTTTCGAATTCTCAATTAGTTCATGGTCATGATTCACATGTTGGTTTACTTAATGTCAATGATAATTATAATGTTAATCCATCATCAGCAATTGATTCTAATCTTATGAATTCCACGTCATCAGTTCAACGTCCTCTCTCTATAGATGTCACTGATGATTATACTGTAGTATCATATAAAAAAAGTTCTAAACATAGTTCAAATCAAGTTACTGATCAAAATGATCGTGTTATTATTAATTCATCTACAGCACGTATTAATTCTGTTATTCCATCTACATCTGATTCTGTTAATCAGCAAAGTATTGGGAATAATCATTATGATGTTAGTGTTGATAAGAATAAATTAAATCAAAGGTTTTCGATTACAAATGAATCAACACGTTATGCGTTAACTCGTTTTCCATTTTCACCTTTTATTTTACAGTTTAAATCAGGAAAAGTTACTGTTAATCAAGTTAAAGATGAATTAGTTCGTCATTGTAAAACAGTTCATCAAATTGATATTCATATTTTGAATTGTCGTTTAATTAGACCAAGTTCCAACATTAATCAATATAATATTCTTATTTATGTTAAAGATGTTATATCATTTGCTTTTATTTTAAATCATGAACATTGGCCAAAGTTATTGGGTAATGAATCATATATTTTATCTTCGTTACCTTCAATTCCTCCTCAACTATGTTGTATAATCAAGAATGTTGATTTACATATCAATTATGATGAATTTTGTGAAGCTATTCATGATAAATTTCCTGAAGTTAAAAATATAGTACGTTTAAAAAATAAATTTCAAAATGATATAAAAATGGTTAAATTAGAATTAACATGTCCAAATGTTCGTGATAAACTATTAAATGATCGTCGAATTCTTATTAACCACATTTCTTATGTTGTGGCAGAATTTTTAGCTCCTGCTCATGTACTTATCTGCTCCAAGTGTATGGCACTTGGTCATTTTCAAAAACAATGTTCACAAACTAAAGAAACTTGTCGTACATGCAGCGAAGTTGTCGATAATATGAAGAATCATATATGTTCGAAGATAGAAAAATGTACACATTGTCAATCGAACCACAAATCTAGTTCTCTTAAATGTCCTGTTGTTGAAGCTTATCGTGCAGAACTTACACGTAAACTATTACATTTAAATAATCCACCTGCAGCTACAGTTGATATTAATAATATTATGCAAAATTATGTATACAAGTCGTCGAACTTTTCACCGCCTCCTGTTTCTTATGCATCAGCAATTAATTCAACAGTTAATCCTATGATTAATCCTATGATGAAAAAACTTGACGAATTAATGAACACTATGTCTGAAATGAAGAATCAACTTGCTAGTTTTGAAGTTAAACAAAATACAATTGAACAATTTATAATTGCTAAACAAGAAGGTGATGATCTTATTAAACAAAACTTAGATGCACTTGCTAAGAATCAACTTGATTTGAAAAAAGACGTTATTCATCATGGTTTATTTATTGATCGTCATGAAAATTTGTTTATGAACTTATTGTTACCTATGTTTCAAGATGTATTTATATTTATCTCATCATTAAATAAAGATAAGAAGGGTAATACATTAGATACTGATTTAAAAGATAAAATAGAATGTTACCTTAAACAAATGAATAAAGTTAAAGAAGGTAAAAATTTCACAAACTAATGTCTTTGTCGCCTTTAGCTATTCCTTTTTTCTCATGTACTTCTTCCAATAAACTATGTAAACGTAATGAGTTGTTAGCTAAAGCTAAAGTTATGTTATCACGTTTTGATTTTTATCTTCTTTCTAAAATTCTCAATGAATGGGAGAATAGTGTAACTATTCAATCTTGTTTTTCTATTTGGCAAAAGTGTGTATCTAAAAGTGTGAATTATAATACTTCTTGTTCTTCTTCATTACATATTTTATCTTTCAATGTGCGTGGTTTAGAATTAAGATGGCAAGAAGTTCTTCTTCTTTTATCTTCTTTGAAATTAGATGTTCTTATTCTTTTAGAAACTGGTCCTCTTGATTCGTCTTTTTTTGACAAAATTTGTCATGACTTTCATATCTTTGCTCGAAAAGGTGAAAATAAGAATGGAGGCGTTCTTATGTTAGTAAAGAATTTTATAAAAGTTTCGCGAATTGAATGTAAACTACCTAATGTTTGTGTCGTAGATGTGAAAGGTGTAGAAGTTGTACGTTTATTAGGTGTATATGCACCGACGAGTAAATCTTGGGATTGGCAAGATTTGTCTCCTTATGTGACTAAGAAATGTATAATTTATGGTGATTTTAATGTTGATTTTTGTCAAGATATTCAAAAAGCAGAATCTCTTTTATCTTGGGCTGATGAACATTTTCTTGCTCCTTTTCTCACTGGTATGCCAACTTCTCTACGTTCTGATAGAGAAGTTGACTATGCTTTTGCAAGTAATATTAATATTACTATTCAAGCTTATAGCGGGAGGACTACAAGTGATCATGTGCCGATTTTATCGGTTATTCCATTTAAGATAGAACAAAATAATGTAGGAAAAAATGTTCATTGGAAGGTTTTTTCTCTTTTTACTGAATATACTTTCTCTTTTTGGGAAGGATTATGGAACTTTGATAATCTTGATAATTTATATAATGATTACACAAAATTTTTATTTCTTCTTTCTGCTCGTTGTACGATTGTTTTTCCTATTGAAAAATATCGTCCAGCTATTCCAGTTGAACTCCGTTCCTTCCTTTCATTTATTAGAGCGCTTTCCTTTCGACAAATGAGAACAAAATGTAGCGAACTAAGAAATGAGGTTAATTGTTTGAGAAAAATCGCTAAGAAAGAACTTAAAAATTTCTTTTCTTCTAATCTTTCGTCTGTTCTTCGTTTTCGAAATTCTTCTTCACCTGCGGGTAATTTCTTTTGGTCTAGAACAAAGAAACATCTTAAACCTTCTTCTTCTTCTGTTCATGCTCTTATTGATTCTTCAGGTAAAGCTAATAAAGATCCCGTATCGATGTGTGAAGTAGCAGCTGATTATTACGAAAAATTTTTTCGCAAATCTGAAATCATTAGACCTCATCCGTATACTGATTCTCCTTTTTTACATCATGAAAATGTGGATGAATTAATTCCGGAGGTAACTTTGGAAGAATTGATTTACACTGTGCAGGTTAAACGCAAAAAGAAATCAGTTGATGCACATGGTATATGTAATTATATGTTTAATTTTCTTGATTTAACTCATTGGTCATTGTTTCTTAAACTATTCAATCATTCTTTTCAGAATACAGTTCTTCCAGATGCTTGGAAAGAGACTAGAATGATCTTGCTTGCTAAAAAAGAATCTATATGTTCTCCTGCTTTAACACGTCCGATTTCACTGATTGATTCTTTTCTTAAGATTGGTGAGAGATTATTTCTCAATAGATTTCGTGATGTTCTGTTACGTAGAGGTTTACTTCCAGATAATCAATCTGGTTTTCGTGATGGTTTTCGTCTTCAAACTAGATTATTAATATTTCTTGAGGATGTGTACAGTTTAATGTCTAATAGTGCACCCGTTTGTACTATCTTTATAGATTTTCGTTCCGCTTTTGATCAGTTATGGCTTAGTGGTTGTATCGGGAAACTTTTTAGGCTCGGTATACCTCGTTCTTATATATTGTGGATAGACGCTTGGCTTCGACGTCGAAGATGTTATACTGAAATTAAGGGTCATAAATCTCGTTATTTTAATATTGAGAAGGGTGGACCTCAAGGAAGCGTGTTAACTCCCACATTGTTCATTTCTTATCATTGTGACATGGGTCAGTTTCTTTCTAGTTGTACAAGTCATTTTTTTGCAGATGACGTTACCGCTATACTAGCAGGTCAAATGGGTGTTCGTCTTACTGATCAATGTCTTGATCTAGAAAAACGTGTTAAATCATTCTTAGATCGACTTGAGTTTTACTCATGTTTATGTGATCAACCGTTAAATCGTTCAAAAACTGATGCTCTATTTAGTGCTCGTGCGATAGGTTTGCCCAAATTTACTATTTCATTTGATAGTGATGGAGGTGATCAGATTAAATGGAAAAAAGAATATAAGTGTCTAGGATATATTATATCCTCTAAATTTGGTTGGGGAAAATTAATTAAAGATGTAGAATGTAAAGTCAGACAGAGGATATCTCTTATAAGATCGTTTAAACTTTTTGGTTGTTCCTCACCTAGTGTTCGTAAAGTATTATTTTATTCTCATGTTCTACCTATATTTACATGGATCTATCCTGTTTATCCTCTTTTGACTCGTAAACAACAGGAAAGTATGTGTAAGTTCTATTATACTTCATTACGTCGTGTTCTATTCTGTCTTGAATGGAATGATATTTTTTTTTCATATGTACTTGATGAGTTATCTTTGGAAGATCGTTGTTCTGCATACTGGAATCGGTATCTTATTGCACTTTCCGCTTCAACAGATGGTAATCTTCTTTTTGAAAAAGCGAATTTATGTGAGTTTCGAAAAAGTTGGTTAGATAAAGAATTTTCTATTAGATGTCTAAGGAAATCAAAAAGATTTGTTCCTAATCATTCTATATTAGAGAAAGTGGTTACATGGCTTTCTTCTATTCCGCTGAATTCTTCAGTTCCACACTTTGAGATGAATGATATAGAACTTCTTGAGAATTTTCCCGATTCTTTTTGTTAGCCTTAAGTTGTTGTTTGTTGTTTGTTTTTTGCTTTTTTTCTTAGTACTTTCTTCATGTTAGCTTGTCACTTTTGGTTGATTTTGGTTCACACATAAAACCCTTTGTTCTTTATAACTGTACGGTTTTCTTGTAGTCGTCTATCATATTATATTTAATGTGTTTTCTGTTTTTGTCTTTTTCTTTTCTTTTGTACTGTTAGGATCGAATGATCGCAGTTATTATGCAAATAAAAAAAAAAGAAGGGTTCGGAAAAATTAAACTTAAATAATATTCTCTTTTCAAAACTAAAACAAAAATTATGACGCACACTGACCTAAAGGCTAATCGTAAAACGTTAGCCCATATATTAAATAAGAAAAGGTTCGGAAAAATCAAACTCAAAGAAAAATTCTATTTTAAAAAACAAAATAATAATGATCGTGCACACTGACCTAAAGACGAATTATAAGACGTTAGCCTATATATTAAATAAGAAAATGGGTTCGGAAAAATAAAACTTAATGAAAAATCCTATTTTAAGAATTAAAATAACAATTATGGCGCACACTGATCTAAAGACGAATTATAAAACGTTAGCCTATATATTGAACAAGAAAAGGTTCGGAAAAATTAAACTTAAATAAAAATTCTATTTTCAAATTTAAAAAAAATAGATTGTCGCAAATTCTTAGCTAAAGACGAATGTATAAAAAATTTAGTCTATATGTTAACTAATAAAATGTTTCCGAAAAATAAAATCTAAATAAGATTCTATTTTTATATTGTTAAAAAATACTATTTTGTAATCGAAACTAAAGACTTATAAAAAATGGTGAAGTTTAGAAACTACTATTAAATTGGTGCAGATAAATAAAAATATAAACTATTCGATACTTAAAGTTATAAAGAATACTATTTGAAAATCGAAACTAATTTCTTGCTGATAAAAATCAGGTCTATAAATTATAAAATAAAATAATTAGGGACAAGAATAAATATTATCTATTTTTTACTTAAATGTAGAGAAATTACACTTCGTATGAGGAACAATGAACTATGAGAAAACGAATCTGATCGTAGACCATTTAGTAGAATAAAGCACGAAACCTTTAATTAGCTTACGAAACTATCAATCGTTTCGCATAAACTAATCCAAACCACTACTTAGTATACGTAACAATTCAGCGTTTAGCACAAAATATCCAGAACTTTACTAAAAGCCGCGAAACTATAAATTATTTTGCATAATGGGTACTGAACTATTCGGAGGCTTTTGAAGCTATGAACCGTTCATTGTCAAACACAGCAAACCTTTAAATAGTTTACTAAATTTTCAAGAGTTCTGTGTGAAGCATACTAAACCTTTGAGAAGCAAACCGAACAATCTATCGTTTAGCATGAAATATTCCAAACCTTTAACTATAATACGGAACCATTTATCGTTTTATACATAGCAGACTGAACCTTTCCTTGGTCTTTGAAAGTACAAATCGTTTAGTATAAAATATACTGAACCATTACAAAATCAACTAAATCATCTGTCGTTTCGTATGAAGTTTGCTGAACTTGTTCATAGCATATGCAACCATAAATAGTTCAGTATGAAGAATACCAAACCTTTACTAGAACTACGAAGCCCCCGAGCATTTTGTATTCCGTTTACTGAACCTTTACTTATTTCATAGAACTGTCAATGGTTCAGTATAAAATCTAATCATCTATTACAGCGTCTGCCGGGTTCTTAATCGTTTGGCAAATAGTAGACTGAACCCTTACGGGCCACATGATGCTATAAACCGTTTAGCATGAAATAAGCCAAACCTTCACTCATTCTGCAGAACCATCAACAGTATCGTACGAAACATATGAAACTTTTGCGAAGCCATCAGGATTATTATTCGTTTAGCGTAAAAGATACCAAACCGAAAGATAACCGACGAAACTATTAATCGCTTCACTACTAATTTAACCAAACCTCTAATTAGTGTACGGATTTCTCAATCGTTCCGTATAAAGTCTGCCAAACTTTTGAATGACCTGCGAACCTATCAATCGTTTCGTGTCATTCAGGCCAAACCATTAGTCATTCTACAAAACCATCAAGGATTCGGTATAAAATAATCTAAACTTCGGAAAATTCTACTAAGCCATGCCTCGTTTCGTGTCAGTCAGGCTAAACCGTTAGCCAATGCACGAAACTATCAAGTGTTCTAGGTCAATTAGGCCGAACCTTTAGTCGGTGGACTGAACCACCAAGGGTTCAGTATAAAATATAATAAACTTTGAGAATTCATGCCACACCGTGGATCGTTTCGTGTGACTTTAACGAAACCCTTCGTCACTCTACAAAGCCATCAAAGGTTCAGCATAAAATATCTTAAACTTCGGCAAAGCCCACGGAACCATCAATGGTTTCGTGTGACTTACACCAAACCTCTAGTCAGCATACGAAACTAACAAGGGTTTAGCATAAAATATCCTGAACGTTTGGAAACCCTACGAAACCATCAATCGTTTCGCGGGACTTAGGCGAAACCTTTAGTCAGTGTATGAAACCATCAAAGGTTCCATATAAAATAACCTAAACTTTGGGTAACCCCACGCAACCATCAAGCGTTTCGTGTGACTTCTGACAAACCTATAGTCATTCTACGAAACCATCGATCGTTCTTGATCATTTAGGCCGAAACCTCAGTCAGTAGACAGACCCACCGAGGGTTCAGTATAAAAGAACCTAAACTTTGGAAAACTCAACGGAACCATCAATGGTTTCGTGTGACTTACACCAAACCTTTAGTCAGCATACGAAACCATGAAAGGTTCAGTATAAAACATTCTAAACTTTGGGACACCCTCCTAAACTATCGGACGTTTCGTATGGAACACTCGGAACTTCCAGATGGTCTACAAAACTAAGAATAGTTTGGTACGAGATAGACAAAATCTGTACTTAGGTTTTTGGAACCAACAGTGGTTTCGCGATGTAATGCGAAACTATCAGAGGTTTCATGTGTCTCATGCGAAACTTTGAGATAGTTCTGTCTGTAAATTACCGAACTTTATGGAATCTACGGAACTTAAAAAAGTTCGGTATAAAATTACGGAACGATTTTTATTCTGCTGAACTTAGAATCGTTCGGTGGAACAATAAGAAACCTTATAAGTTCCGTAGAAAACCTATTGTTTTTAGAGTATACCTCAAAAAATAGACTTTGGAGTTTTCAGCTGAAATTTTGCCTATATATAGGTCCAATAGTTATTAGAACATCCTGAAAGTTTCAGCCAAAAATAATGTTCCTTTCTTGAGATATGCAATTTTCAAAAAATAATCGCTTGCTATATATAGGTGATGAAAATGAAGTTCACTTGAAGACTGAATATCTCAAGAAAGGAACATTATTTTTGGCTGAAACTTTCAGGATGTTCTAATAACTATTGGACCTATATAGGCAAAATTTCAGCTGAAAACTCCAAAGCCTATTTTTTGAGGTATATACCTAATAATGGGTCGAAAATCCAGTGAAATGGGAATAACTACTGAAGGAATGCGATTGGGGAAAATCCCCTCTAGGGTTTTTACTATCCCAATATACTTAACTAAATGAGATATGAATGAATGAAACGGGAGGTATCACCTCAAAAGTTTCCCTCGCCAGTCCGATCCAATACGAATCTAATTGTTTGATTCTTGTAAGATTTTAGCTTGCATCTCACGTTCAGAATCTGATAGAATCTTGCAAATAACAAACACATATGATATTGTACGATTTTGTGTCAAGATCAGATGAAAAATCTTGTATGCGTCAGATCTTGTAATATCTGACACGATCTTATGTCTGATTTTTTGACCTGGGACCGGATTCCACAATAGATCTGTTCAATTATAGCCATTGGAAACTACCGGTTCATGTAGTAATCCATCGGATCCTTACATCGAATTTGTTTATCTCAAACAACAGAGATCCGACAGGATTTAGTTAAGGTTCCATATCGGAAGTAACCAGAAAATTATATATGCAACTTATTCGAATCGGTATTATATTTTGTAAAAATTAATATTCTTTATATGAATTGGAAATTCATTTTCGTGTGTTTTATTGAGTAAAATATAACTAAATAATCAACGTGGTGATAATGACATTAAATATGATAACAAGTACGAAATATAAGTAACTATAAATAGTTTCAATAACTCAAAATAATGACTTCTTCAATATTCAACAATTCAAATACGACAGAAAGGGGTAGTATTTCAAACATTAAACTTTTTTTTCAATAATAAATGCGCGCGAACTGAATTCATAATTTCATAATCTTCCATGATAATTAGAGATTTATATTGATTTTAATTTGTTTCATGTTATTGAAAATCATTTTATTTGTTGTTGATGATCATATTGTCGCCACACAATGGATAAAAAACAAACAAACATCGTTTAGTTGTCATTATTTATATGAAGTCATTCTTACCTGACTAATCTTGATATAATGAATTAAAATAGTTTAAACTCAAGCAAAAACTAAATAAAATCGATCATTGATCTCAAGAAATGAAGCCGAAATCATGCCAAAATACTGTCTTTTTTAAAAGATTAAAGTCGTTTTCTAATAAATTTTTAACTAAACAGCTGATCTATATAACTTTTTAATGCAAATTACTAACGGATGGCTACGATGAATAGTTGATTGATTTTGACGGTAAACATCTGGTTAAAGACCAATAAAACTATGATGAAATATTTCACTTTTACTTAAATTGTTAATGTTCATTCTAAACAATTTGCACATTGTTTTTTTTATAATTACGAATAAATCAAATCAAGTTGCACTTCTTATTGAAGTTTCGGAACGGATATCAAATATAGCCAATAGTT